GAGAAGCACCTCGATCTTCTAAAATGGAGTTGCGATAGGCAAACAGTCAGATGGAAGCAAAAGCTCCAATACGGAGAAGTGAATGAAAGTTTCACAATGAGACTCTAAGAAAGCTTTCTCTTGTAGTTACAACAAAGGACTCACCGCTTAAGACCGATACACCAGTGAAAAGTGTGTTCAGAATCAAGGAAAACAGGGAAAAATATTAATTTTTAAAAAACAGATGATTCAACAGTCCGATTGGCGATGACAGTCAGTCGTCCTGAACACTGATTTTGGGCACTACTGAAGCCTTTCATGACCCCCCCCCCCTAACCTAAACTTGTCAGTTGTTAGTGAACCAATCTCTGCCTGTGTTGTCTTAGACCAAAGATCCTTCATGCGGATTTGAGTGAGTACCTAGGAACTCAAAATCCTGCAATCAACGAAAATTTCCAAAAAACCCTCTTCTATTTACCGCAATAGGGTGGTGTGTTTTTCTACACAATTATAATAGCCAATATGGGGTGTGCGATAGACTTACCTCCACGTGGTGCACCCTGGGCAACGTGTACTCATACGGCAAAAAAGTCTATTAACCGGCAGTTGACTACTCACTTCAAACTGCCAAGACCCCACCGCATTTCATATACGACTAATTCCACAGTACTCACCTTTTTTCTACCTTATTCGCCCCCTTTCACAGTACTCATCTTACCTTTTTTATAACTTTGTGTCATATCTGTCTGTCTCTTTTACGTCTGTGAATCATTATTCTGTCATCTGTCTGCCTCTTTTACATCCGTGAATCGCTCTTCTGTTTCCCTGTCTGCCTCTTTTACATCTGTGAAACGCTCTTCTGTTCTGTCTGCCTCTTTTACATCTGTGAATCGCTCTTCTGATCCCAACCCTTCTGCCTCTTTTACATCTGTGAATCGCTCTTCTGTTCCTCGTGTCAACTAAAGGGCTAATGATACCTATTATAACGCCTGCCATTTGAAATAAATAAATAAATAAATAATAAATAATAGCCGATATACCACTAAAGACTGCTCGTGAGTCTTCTAGGATATCCCCAGTATATACATAAATTCCATCGGTAGGGGAAGGCAATGGGCTTACCCGTCCTCTCTGTAGCTCTATCAGCAGCTTTAGCAGCGGGAGGATGACGATCTTGTGCTGTAGTCTTAGTGGTAGTAGGAACTGGGACATTGTCCACTTCAACGTCGTTCATATTTCTGACACGCGAGCGTTTCTTAATTCCCTGTGGTGTTTTGGGGGTTTTCTTTTCAATATTTTTTGTTTCCTCTGTTATTGTGGTCATTTCTACCCTCTTTCTTGCTTTAGAGGCCGGTATTTCCTCATCCGCCCGTTTCTTCAGCCTTTTATTAAAGTTAAAAAAAACAGGTAACAACACAACCGCCTTTTCGATTCATGTAATTAAATAGCATACAAGGCAAACAACATACGTTGTAGATGAATCTGAACCACCATTTAACGGAGACTTGGTCTAAAAGTAAAAAAATCAAGTTATTGACAATGCAAACACGATTGATAACTCATTCCAGGATACGGAAGCCTTTCTCTCTCTCTCTCTAGCTTAGTTCTTATGCACTGATGGATGAAATAAATAAAAAATCAAGAATTCTTGACAAATTTGTAACAGCTGACCCAAAGTGATAAATGGATTCTGAAAAATTGAGCCGCTGTTTCCCCCAAGCCTCTGATTGTGCCGCCTCTTTGAGGTTGTTTGCTGCCACAAATCTAGTTCAAGCGGCTGATGACAATGCGACCTTGCACCCATCATCCAGAAATAAAGCAAAGCAACGAAGCTCACGTACTCAATAGAGAGAGAGGAACATCAAATCGAAAGTCATTTCAGTACGATTTGTTTCCGAGCCTAAAGTGGCCAAGTAGCAAACAGTTCCGACACAACCTGTCTGCTTGATCACCGAACAACTCAAACATGCTATCTAAAGGCACACACAAGGAAGGTTGCTCTACTTTGCCTTCCTCATAATTCATGCATAGCGCAAAAAGACTCCAAGTCTCCAAAATGATCTGGTCCTAAACAAACGTCAGGGCTTGATGATAAGTGCAAGTAACTCAGAGAAATTCGCCTTGCAAAGACAGTTTCTCCAACAAATGAACCGGAGACTAAATTGGTTGGACAGAATGCAGGTGGACCTGTCCTTGCTTATCATCAAGATCCAATATGATGTCATATTAATCTTCCTTTACTTCACATTGATTTTAGTTAACCTAGATCTACCCCCCCCCCCCAACCCAGCAATCTCCTTTCTACTCTACGTCGATTCATATTCAAATTGAACTGAAGTTATTAACATTAAATCTACCACTTCAAGAAACCAGCCGTTATCACTAATTGGATTTATGGCATCACCGAGGTTATTGGTCTATGCATGCTCATCCATTCAAAGATACATATTCATATTTTCAGATTTACTAAAATTTTCTCAACAATACAGGACATAAAGATCGGATCCATGGTCGTCAGTGATCAAATCTTCTCGTCATTTACTTAACTCGTTGTTTGGAGGGATCCATGGAACCAAAGCGGAAATAGCTCTGACTAAGATATGACACACCCTAACTCTACCTATGACAATTGTGCTTGTACTTCCCGTGTAATCAATGCACATTAGCAACGTTAAGTCAGACACCTGAATTAATCCAATCAGTACAGAGAAGGAAGCTAACATCAATGAATAACCGAACATATGGTTCATCTCAACCGTCAGATATTACTTAGATCTCGAAATTCATGCATCCATTCTCTCGACAACATAGGATTTCATGGAGCTTGTTAGTACTTTATCGGTCTTCCATTACTATCACAGAAGAACCAACACTACATAACCAAAAAACCAAAATAAGAGGAAGAGAGTCAACCTACCGCAACACCATTAATTGCAGTCGGTGTCTTGTCACTGACTATCACGTCCGAAGGCGGCTCAGCAGACTTCTGCGTTGGCATACTAGCCGCCGTAGTCTTCGGAGACGAAGACGCAGCAACATCTTTTGATGACTGTCTGGCGACTGGGGGTAAGGTTGAATTGGGCGAATCAACAACGCTAGAATATATAAAAGCACTTTATTTATTTCACACGGTAAAGCAAAAACAGCCTGAGAAAATTCAAATAAACAAATGGAAAAAGAATTTTCACAAAGACGCAGATTTAAAAAGCAAATGAAAAAAACGGCTTGTGGCATAACTAATTCAAAAGACAGTAAGTTTGGCTAGAAATGTAGAAAGGAGTCACTCTGATGAGAAACTCGGAATCTACAATCTCCTTGTACACCAGAATTACCGTCCAAATCGCTGAATGCGCACAGATAAGCATCGATCTCTCGCGACCCTTGACATGACAGACGTGCACACGTAGACCTCTGCGTATGGTACATATATAATTTAAAATAGAGTTAATTTACCTCTGAACCGTGTGCAAGAAGCTTGGGGTAATGCGACGGCGACCGTCCTTTGTACGGCTTTCTTTTTGCGAGGTCTACGAGGAGAAAGAGATTTCAATTTCTTACTTCCCTGGCAAAGCGAACGAATCCCACAAATTTCCCCCCCCCCCCCCCCCCCCGACTATGCCATCAATTTAGGACTCACATTTTTTTCCTTGGTCATACCGGTATGTCAAGAAAACTTCACCACACAACGTCAGCAGCTGCTGAACTAACGTATTCAGTTCATCTCAATTTAAGAATATTTATTCTAATTGCCCTCAAAAGTAGTCATTTGATTATATGTCATTTGCAATTCACTGACCTTGTAACGCATATAATTAACTACTACCTTGAGTTGCTCATCCCTAACTTCCACTCACAATCTTCTGATTCGCTTCTACTTGTGGGCCAACAATGCAGTGTCTGTCTCTTTCATATCTTATTGGTGGTCGAAATAGGACTTAAACAGGGTTGCACAATGTGCACTGCTGATTCGAACGCTTTAAAGGCCCACAGACAAGTGAAGATCAAACTTACCCACTGGACTTTCTCAGCAACCTTAACACCAGAGTTTTTACTGGTAGTATTTCCCATTCTCTGTCTCAATTCCTCTTGTTGGCGCTGTAGAGCCAAAGCTTCAGGGGTTTCTAGCACAACACTTCCAGTCTTCTGATTAAAAACAGAAGTAACATTGCTTTCTGACGACCTTGATGAATTTAGAAGGTTGTCAATTAGACTTTGGCCATAGGTCCTGCGATGATGCTGAACCTATTGGACATAAGGAAAAAAAGATGGGAGACGAATAAAACCACACTAGTCAATGCTTCCCATGTGTCGAAACTTACAGTTTCTTCTGGACTAAGCGGTTCACCTAACTCATCTTTCGTAAAACAGAGGTAAGCAACAGAACCATCTAGAGAACAGACCATCAGCTCCTGCCCAGTTGCACTCCTATGGAACAAAAGGGATACCGCAAGAAATATCAATGCATTCAAACAAGCGAATATTTGGAAATAATTCACCACATACCAGGTCAAATCAGAAATAGCATGTGTAAAGAGATCACGTAGGACAACCAGAGCACGTCTACGTGCAGTTGACTGCAAGGGAGAGAGAGAGGACAAAATTAAATACAGAATATGCTACTAAAAGGATTAAGTATAGTGAAACGCACCCATACTGATAAGCACCGGTCTTTCCCACCAATAGCAAGGCAAAGTATATTCTACCGGAGTTAAAAGTTAAAATTAGATAATCAAATTTTAACTTACAATAAATCCATTGTTTTTAGTTTTTTTCATTATATTCGGATTATAGCGCTATAAAAGAAAGGGGTAGTTGTTAGGAAGGATAATAGTCATTTCCAAACACGAATAAGCGAGATTTCATTAAACGCATTCATTTTCCAATGAAGTGCATGGAACTATCATTTTTTTCTCATTTAAGATGCTCACAGGTGCACATCCAGCAATGTGGACGTGGCAAACCGTAATGGCCAACTTCGATCAAAACGAGGGTGATTTTCAAATAGATGGGTCTAGAGGTTGCCATAAAAACAAATCATTGAATGGCAAAAGAAATCCACACCGGAATATGACCTCTGAAGGACTTGAAATGCCTTCTAATCTAAAACCACTATTCCATTTTAATCCGATTTAATAGATTTAAACACTAATTAGATGGGAGAGTGAGAGAATAAAAAAATGTAAGTCGATATATTGCGCGAGAAGTCTGCGTTTTCCAAACAAATATCTTCACCTTTCCCACTTTCACGCGCTAAATAAACTTAAATAATTCATGTTGTGTTAGTCAAATTGAGTAAACAGATTGCGGTATCCACTCCCAGCGTCTGGCCAAATGATAGGCCTTTATGAAACATTGTGACCCGAGTAAGATTACTTTTCCTATGTTGAAAGAGTCGGAATTTATGCGCTATGTTGAAATGTTATCTAAATAAAAAAGTCTAGGTATTCATTAGAAAAGAGCTTCGGATATTCATAACCTTCGACAAAAGCTTTCAACAAAGAAACATCACATAGAAGGAATACGCCCACAACAATTCCAAAACGGGCCATTATTACGCCTCTACTCTTGAAAACGAAGAAAAATTCTTGTCTTAAACTAGTGCTATGATAAATCATAATTTAATCACTATATATTAGGAAACTTGAAGATCTGTGTACGCTTGAATAAACCAGCTAAACAAAATCCATTGTGAACTTACCGCACAAGTAAGGTGCTTTTCGTGACCAACAAGATCAGATCCAGTTGCCTGCCATCGATTGCGATTAAGTAGTTGAACCACCGGAAAGTTACCATTAACAGCATGTGGAGCGGCAATACAGGATCCATCAGGACTCCAAGAAAGACGCATTAGGGCTGTCTGATCTGCATGCTAAAGTGGTAGTGTAAGAAGTGGAATAACTAAACATACATCGGGAAAGAACTTAGAAACAGTAGCTTCAATTTGCCAATCAGCAGAGCGCCAGATTCGAACACCAAGATCATCTGAGTGGGTAGCCAGAAAACGACCCGCAGGATCCCATGTTACTCCCTTAACAGCTCCTTTGTGACTTTTGAGGATAGTGATGAGTTGGAATGATGGCTGAGAACCATCATTCAGTGAAGAGACGCCATAAATGGCAACTGTGCAATCAATACTTGTAGATGCCAGTCTAGTTCCATCCTGAGACCAGGCAATATCAACAACATCTGAACAAGAAAAATCCAATTTTGATTTAGCTGACAAAAATGTTCCCAATAATAGACGAGAATTTAAAGATACCACCGCTATGATTTCGTAAAGCAGCTATGCGCCTCCAATGTTCAGAAAACTTCTCCTTAGCACCGAATACACCACTATGAGTACCAGCGCTAAAACAAGCATAAGATTAAAGAGAGTTAAAAAGTAAAAGGTAAGTAAGTATTTAAAAGGATAATTTACGGCGATTTTTCCCAAACAATTACAGAGTGATCAACACTGCCGGTCGCCAACCAACGACCCGTTGGTGACCATCGAACAGTGTTCACACAACCTTCATGGTCATCCATCCGGAAGAGTTGTTTTGATGAAGTGGCATTGGTTTCCTTGGAAGGATCTCTTATATAGGACATATCCCAAATGATAACAGTGCCACCAGTTTTACCCAAGCCACCAGTTGCAAGGCGTGAGCCATCTGGATGGATATCCAAACTGCAAATTGAATGATCTTAATGAAGAGATTTGATTACATGGTAATTATTAGTAACATACATGAGTTTGTGGATTTACACTGAATACCGTGGGTGACCCAGTGGGGTTTGTAGAGCCTCATTACTGAGAAAAATAAATTTCGGAATAAATAACTACATACATTTGTGACGTAAAATATTAAAAGCATAATTATAAAGTGAATACAATAGATGAACAGAGAAACCCGACCCTACCACAGACACCAAAAAATTATCGGTCAACTTTGATTTTTACACTAACCTTGAAAGAAGATGAACGAATGAACAAAATTTATTTTGAGGATCTATTTTTGATTGAGAAAAAATTCACTCACATTATAAAATAATTGATAAAATTATCTAATTATTTTGAAATAGCTTATTATATATATATAACAAAGTATCTGTTATGCTTTTGAATATTTTCCATTATTTGATCAGGCAGACTGTAATTTGCAGCACATTGTGATTTTCAATAAATTTTAATTAATATAAATTTCTACGTTTGTTTTTAGGCACATTTTTCTTGTCTAGAAGAAAATATTTTCCTCAACTTCAATACCCTAATTAAGTATGGAACTGCAGCCCTATTATCTCTTTTAAAGTTTGATTTTGAAAGATCTGTAAAAAATTAATTGAAATGATGAATTTTTATATGTCAACAAGTGAAATCAACAAGCAAACTGTAGACCCGCTCAATTTACCTACTGTATAATGTGCACTATGAAAATAAATATTTGTTAACTTAACAGGCCAATCAATTCCATAGACCTTTGTGAATAGCCAATAAATTGCTTGTATGACCTATCTCAGTCTTTCTAATAAACAAAGAACAGAATTTCGCATGGTTCCCGTTGTCATTCAAATTCGAAAGCCAACAAAATTGCGAAGAAACACTTCATTTTTACAAGCATAGTTCAATACGTAGGCAAATATCTTGATAAAAGGTGTTTGGCTTTTTTAGGGAGGTTAACATTCTTCACTTTATTCTTAGCATGGTTCAATACTTGACGGGCTCATTATGTGCAAATTAATGTCCATTCTAATAGGGTAAGTAAGTAGAACAATACTACCGCAACCCATACCAAAATGAATGCAGAGCTGGGCATCGAGAAACAGTGAAGTTGAAGAGAGTGAAAAGACAAACTGAATTGAAAAGTAGGTGTAAGAACCAATCGAGGAAGGAGTCTGACTGGACATTAAACAATATGGTAGTATGATTTCAATCTTTTACTTCTTTTTGATTCTTGTTAAATTTTTTATATTTCATATTTCTACAGAGCAATATGCTCTCTCATGCTAGTTGGTCTTCTCCAAGAGGTGTTCCATAATGTATTTTCATTGAAACCGATCTTTTGCAATACTGCTACATTACTAGCTTTTCAACTTAACTATTTGGGAACATTTTAACTTGAATACGTAACATAGTAGTTACGTTATGCTTTTTAAACTGTGTTAAATTGAAATAAATAAATAGTGCTCATTCATATTGCTTTCTTGAATGAAAAATAAACAATAAATTTTGTTGTGGAATGATACACTGCTGATCGGAACCTAGAGAGAGGGTCTGTTGTGGTGCGCCGGCCGGGAATCAAACCCTGGCCGCCCGCATGGTAGGCGAGCATTCTACTACCAAACCACCGGCGCTTATCATTCAGGATGCTAATAGCCTCGTCGAACGTTTCCATCTAGCTGGAGCTAACTAGGGATTTCGGAGTCGATCAAGGGTTCACTAGTGTAGCAGTCCGCTAGTTTCAGAAACAAATTTTTGTCAGTTGACTGGTGTTCTTCTTACAATAAATCATCTAACATTAGCATGGAAATTGGCAGCTTTATGGAGACACTACAAATAAAAAGGCAATAACTACTCTCTTTCGCGCGCGCTCTCTCTCTATGTTCAATATGTCGATTAACATGCTATGATGCTATTGTAGCTAGCGCGATCAAACAAGGGATTTGCTCTTGCACACCATTCAATCAACTTGTTAGTTCGCGATGTTCGAATTATGATGCTGATTATTACATTGATTTTCAGCCTTAAGCGAACAATTATGCTATCTTTATTCCAGGTCGATTAATTAGCATCTTAGTCAAATTGGGAAGAGTCAGAGGCCCATCAGTGGACTGACCCTAAATCGATTAATTATTCTCCTTGATGGATTATAAAAAGCTTTTTCCTCGAAGCATTGGAGAAGAAGTTATTCCCGTTGTTCTTATTCGCTGCTTACTTATAACTATTGGAGGTTTGTGATTCTGGATAAATAAAATACCATGTTTAACTTTTTACCAGAACCGGAATATGAATGCAGTCATTTACAATAAGTTGGTTGTAGTTCCTCAAAATGTGTGTGATGCAGAGATTGACCAGGACACTGAGTTAGCGTGTTCATGTACTACAGACCGATGTCTAATTTTAATTTTTCAAGGAGTCTATTTTCCAAAATTAAGCACGCTTGCAGTTGTGGACGTCATTGTCGCCTTTTACCTCTGCTGTTCAGCTACAAGTCTCCAGATTGTTATTCAAGCTCTGACGTGGTTTGCAGGTAGATTGACTTCCACAACGAGGAGAAGATTCTAATCGACTGAACTGTTAAAACACATTTATGTTAAAAGCAAAATGTAAAAGCATAGATTTAAAGGTTTCAATTAAATATATATTCATAATAGGAGAATTCAACCAACACCAAACATTCAAGGCGAGTGAAAAGTAAACACACATGACAAATCTTGCCAAGTTGTCTTCACATTTTAGAGGTCGTAAACAATTCCAAGACGGTGATTGATCTAAGGGCCACCAATATCCGCCTTTTCAAACTCCAGTTTTACAAGCTTTCTATAATGAATCGGCAAAAACTGAATTTCAAACATTCTGTCTTCTTTTTCTTTATACTGTTTAAGTCTATTTTTTACTCATTTTTTAGTTGGGAGGTTACTTTCCAATCATTTCATGCCCAATCTAAACGGTATTTCAGCACAGTGGAGCGCAAGCAATTTTGGTCCTTTTAATTCAACTAACCCAATTATTAATGCAAAATACAAGAGATACCATAAACATTTTTCCTTTTAGGAACATTGCAATTTTTAGTTTGCTGAGTACGCTACGCAGATAGACGCTTGAGCAAAACTCGGTCATCCCCATGGGCATTTCCACCCCCCACCCACATTCGAAATTGTTCCCGAAATTAGCTAAGCTATCCTGACAACATCGAGAAAACAGAGCGTATGAAGCGAATAGCATTCTACTGGTTATGTGACACTGCCATGAGGTGTTGTCATTAAAATATAATTAAGGGGTAACCCGACATCGTACCGGTTACTGATTGGCGTTGGGTTGAGAGGTTCTTGCACTCGTGACAACACCTTCAATACTGTTCGAGGACGCAAGAAATTTCTTCTAACAACTTTGATGGCGTTGTTCTATCCACAAACTAAAGCTGGTATAGGACTTGAGGAGAGGGCACAAGAACCAAAACTATGCATTGGAGGGACGTTTCACAACTAAATTAGCGCACTATCAATTCACACTTGCTTTCAGACACAGAGTAGCATGTTAAAAATGAACATATTTTACATTAAAAATGAACCCCATATCTACTGTTCGCGAAGCACTTAACAAAAGCTCTTAAAGCATTCACCATAAAATTTACTCGAGATAATACAAGAAAAATTGCAAAAGTTACAAGTTCCCGTATTTTGTGAATGGAGTGGTTACAGCTGGCTAGTACAGAGAGTTGTACAATTCGAGCCTTAGAAGGGGGACACCAACGTTCCACCCAAGACGAAACTTCCACTAAAGCACTTGGAAATTGCTAGCCACTTCGCCAGTCAACATAGAACGACATATCTTTAAAATAGCAGAAAAATCATGACACATGAAGTACTCTAAAAATACAATCATACAATGATGGGGTTCACGAGTTTTAAAAATTATGCAAGGGGTAATAATTGTAAATAGGAAACGAATTTAGCAACCGCAACCGCCGCTTTGAGTAGAGGGCACATTTGATGTTTTTTCAAGGTTAATATTCCTACTGGGTTTACGATTGGCCTCAAAACACGGGGATCGAACAATCTAAAGAGAAAAAATTTTAAATCGAAATATCCAAAATAGCGCAAAATCTAATAAAGGCGGGAGAAACTTACAGTGGACACAAGTTGATGAAAGCAATTGTTTACATTTTCACTAGTTAAGGCACTGGTTTCCACAAATAGCATGGAGGAACGCATGGCAAATTCTCGGGCTTCTTCTTTCCTCACTGCCCTTTCGACTAAGTCAATCTTGTTTCCAACAAGCATTTTGATGATATTAGGGTTGTTCGCGTAATAACCGACATTCTCATCCCAGTTTTTAATATTCTCAAAACTATCGCGATTGGTGACATCATAAACTAAGGTACAAAGCAAAGTAAATTCTTCATGAGAATATTTACCAAGAAGGACACCCTCGGCATTTCTATAGAAGAGAGGCTGTAAAGCCGTCATCCCATTTGCTTCAGCTCCGGCTGTATCCCAAAATGAAAGACTGTAGGTGATGCCATCAATCTCGATTTTTGAAGGCATAAAGTCAACTCCAATTGTTGGAGCAATTGAATCGTCGAATTTCTCATCGGCAAAACGCTTCATAATACTTGTTTTGCCCACAGAAGAATCGCCGACGAATAATATTTTTATAGGTTTCTCCATCGACGATTAAGTGCACTTTACAAATGACATTGGAAATGAGAATTTTATGAAACTTTAAGTTAACCCATTGTATAAATACTAAAGGATTAAATAACTAGATGGTAGATGACGTATTAAGACAAAGCTATATTGCAACGGATATGATTTAATTTAATATTGACGAAATTCCTCAATATTAATGATCTCATTTATATAAATACCTGGAAAATATAATATGAAACTCCACTTATGCAACCACAGGTCTTAGTGATATGCGCTTGATGTTCAAGGTCAATGAAATAATAATATTATCTAAGGAATATAATTATTATATTCAACAGGTTTAACAAGGAAACTCAATATTTTAATTTTGCTTCGTGATATGCATTAAGCTTAGTTGACAAGTCTTTTTAAACAATGATCCTACATATCCGTATTATGTGCTTTCAATTTATTGCCAGAAATCGACATGAAAGTATAAGATTTTATGTCGTGAAGAAATATTACGATTTTGGTTGGCCAAAATATTTTTATTAACAAAAATGGGAAACTTTCATGCTTGAACTTTCATGTTTATTTGAATAATATCGAAAGCGTTAATTTCAAATTCAACCATCATTTTCAATACAATTTTGCAAGCATGATTGAAGGCCGTGATCATGATAAAAGGCAATTAAATTAATAAGTTAGATCGTAAGATAGACAAGTATTGGTTCCGTATAGTTCCCATTCGTTTGTAAAGCACCCACGTCCGTATGATAGGCCTTTTGGTCTTCGCTTCAGATATCCAGGGTTCTTCTGGCCAACGTAGGATATTCTGTACATTTATGGATTTATTTTTAACTGAAAATGGGCTGAATAATAATTGGCATTGAAATTTAGAAATTATTTATTTTAAACTAATTCCCATTTGAGCTAATTGATTTTGACAATTCGTGATAAAACCAATAATTGGCTTTTGTGATACCTTATCTTTTCCGGCGGAGTATTCTGAGCTTCGAAGCATAAAATAGGCTTAGCCGTTCAGTAGCAATCTCTTCCTGGACTGAAAAAGTATTAACCCAAGTTTATACTTGATGTTCTTCCATGCTCGGATACGACTTTTACTGTCGTACTTTCCGTCATATACTTGCTTTGGAACCGAAAATCCATGATCTTTCTCAGTCCATAAGATCCTCCTTAACCCCATATTTACTTCTATCCATTCAATTAGATTCATAACTCCAAAATCTGGAAATACTAAAAATGAACGCTACTTAACTTTGTTCAATAGACTCATGTCCCTGATAATTATTTAAACGCGTAGAGTTATTTATCTCAATTTATTATTCCTGCATAGAGAATATCATCCCCTTCCGCTAATAAGTTATAACTATTTCCGAGATTACTTGCCATTTTGCCTCATTCTGAATTCGGAGCTTTACCTAGCCTCATTTTTTCCAGCTACTTCCGGAGATGTTGTCTTTCCTCGCCTTTCTCTTCCAACATAAGTATACAGACCGCTTCTGTCGCTTTTCCAGCTTGTGATGATTAATTTCTTTGCATTTACCTGTTCTTCTAACTATCAGCAAAATCCAATAGGGTAAAAGAGCCAGTCATAAAACTTTTGTAGCGTTTATTTAATACAGACAGATCATTGAAGCAATTCAATACGCCTAACAATTATTATAATCCCCGAATCGTAAATCACTATTTATCACCCAAAATGCTCCAGATTTCAATATGGGAAGTTCGGAAACTGAGACTACAGTAATCAACTCATTTGAAAAATTGTTATAGTGTGGTTTTAAAGCGAAAAAAGTAATTGATTTAAGGGATCACTAGGAGACTCCCGGCTCAAACAAATTAGAATATTAGAGTTAACACCAGAAGATTTTGAGAAGTAATTCGTTTTCAGAAGTTAAAATCCGATTTGGGCATGGGTGTAAAACATTCCTAAGATAGAAAGGCGGTATTCGGGTCTTGAGCCAATCAATATATGATTAGTCCCTAGATTTATCTTTGCTCATTTGAAAGTATACGATTCAGTTGCAGTCTATTTTAAAGATGCCTAAGTGTCAAATGTTACTAATAATATATTTCAAGCGAGAAGAATTGTATTATTTGAATTTTTGTAATTACGCCTTTTATAACTAATTTAAAATAGGCTAACACGGACCATTTCTGCAGTGACCTAATCGTTAACAGTATTAATAACCTTTCCAGCTAGTAGCTTATTTCAATAAAACAGAAAACACTGGCAAAATGATATGGACTTACGTGTTTCGCTAGATTTCACTCATGGAGTGCTTTAATAATTGCATGCTTGTAACTGTCCATAAGACCCCACGACTTATCTAGAACGCAACAATTAGTATTGAATCGAATACAAGTATGTGAGCAGGAAATTGCATGATGAAAAAGAAATCCTAGCCAAGTCGATGTGTATTTAATATAGCCAAAATGTTAATAAATTGTTGGCTAGTTGTCTGAAAACTAAATCAGCTGCAGATCCGTCTACATCGAGGAGAGTTGTACTAGTGACGAATACAGAGTATTGGGTGGTAGTGTACCGATTACGTTCCTAGTATTAATAACTCTGAGGTGATTAGGCCTCGTATTGCCAACCATCCGCCTACCTACAACTTCTTGTTTAAAAAGCAACTTAGCGGGGGCGGCATTGCTAGTATTAATAGCGACCACCACAACAATCGCCATTAACAGAGGTTGAATCTCGTCACTTCGGTTTTATTAGAGTTAACCTTGAATGAACCTCAGTCACTCTCTGTGTTTATAAAAATATAGTAAAGTTTATAAAAATGGAAACAACTTGCCGCCATTTGACTCAGAATTGAAGCGGCACCCAATATTTCCCATAGGTTAGCTATTTACAAAAGTTCCAGGTAAATTTAAACAAATTTGTGAAACCATCCTTTAATCTTCCTCAAAGTTCCATTCCGAACAAGTAGAAAGCTCTTAAAGTATCCCAATTCGTAGCAGTTTCAATGACAGAATACAACTTCATTTTCTTTTCACCAATAATAAATAAATATACAAATAAATACACTATCACTCACCTCTAATAATCTTTTTCAAAGCTAAAAATAAATGATAAAAAAGATTTTAAAACAGAGTAAACGTCATAAATAACGGAGAAGCCATTTTGTATATTATGAATTTGCTTGAAGCTAATACTTGCTTGTATTATTATAAATGAACAAAATTAAAACCAAATTATTAATTAATCGAATGTGAGGATAATTTTTTTGTCTTTTAAAACTAATCGGTTACCTCAAGTCCGTATCTAGTTAGAATAAAGATTTGAAGTTTATCGTAACCAATATGAGCACATTGGGGGTCTCGAGCTTCGAATTCAAATTCATTGATCATCGTAGTCTCAATGAATCATAAATTTTTGATAACTAAAGTAAAAGAATAAATTTTAACAGCCTGAGCCCTTATAGCTCGCGCTTTATTGGTATTACAATCTCATTAGTGAAGTGGTCGAGTTTCTTATCAAAAGAGCATGAAACATAAGAAAAGATTTAATATTTGCCAACTAAATCAGTCTTAATTTAGTCGAACTGTAGCATTAAAATGGAAACTTAGCCCACAGAAACATCAAAGCCATAGCGTCAAATCCAAAATTGAGTTTATGCTTCAAATATCAAATGTTTATTGTCAAAGGTGGAAATTTATTTCATTAAAGTGATGCTGTTATGTTAATTAGAGCGATTTGTTTTAATTACAAATAGAAAGGATATTAATCATTCTCTTGATCGCAAAAAATTATATCCGTAAAAACCGAAAAATTTAAAACTTTATGAATCGGAAAGGAATCAATAACCCGCCTTTCCAGGTATAGAAAAAAAAATAGATCCTTATTTCGGTGGCTCAGAGGTTTGTGCGCATTAAATTTAAAGGAAATCGATAGTACCCTTTATTTTGAATTTATAATAAAAAGATTTCAATTAAATAGGCAAGGACTAAGTAGTAGCGTATTGACGTGCAAACGAGAAATAGCATATTCGTCCATGCCTGTCACCACCTTAACAGACTGTTAGCTGATGCCGAAAAAGAATATCCATTACGTTTACAATGGCACATAAATGACGTTAGGATTAAAAACAAGCACGAACAAGCAAATTGACGTCATTTATAAAGCAGTTCTTCGCGACTTTTTTGTATCATCAAAATCTCTATGCGAAAAAATGTTAAAGTGTAGAGCTGTTCATTGCCAAAGAATTTATAACCAAAATTGTAATTCAAACGTGGAAATTAGTTCTGAGGCAGTGGCCACTAATTTCTAGAATCGAGGTTAGCTTCTCGTATTAACCAACCACTCATAGGCCTGATTGCCATAAAAAAACTAGACATCTCTAAGACCTAGGTTCAAGGTTAGCGGAGTTTTGTAGGCCTATCAACTTCCAATCTTATCACGATCATTGTCACACAACTGAATGAAAAGAGAAGAGAATTAGAAAGAGTAGGATTTATTGAAAAGTAAGCGAAAACTGTGAAATTATTTTAAAGTGTAGAGAAGTGAACACATCGGCTGGTTAGTGCCTTAGTTGAAAAGCTTGGGTTAAGGAGCTCTTGGAATTAGACACTTAGGGCGTCAAGGAAAGGGTGATCACAGTGGAGAATTGTCTTATGAATGACTGTACCTATTTGCCGAAGAATTCCAGGGTCTGAGTGTCTTTGGTCACTGTGGAAGACCACTGGAAAGATAATATCGGATGGTAAGACAGATTAGAGATCGATCAAATTGAATCCATCACCTTCGGAGTTTCTGAATAATATAGTGAACAAAGTTGACACTTGAGCCCTGCTACCGTATTGAATCTTCTAGTTGGAAATTAGAGACTATTAACCCGGTAGTTAAGTTTAGCAGTTTAATACTTTAGACAACCCAGTTAGTTGCCGAGGGGCGTTGAACGATTAATTCCAAAGAATTAGGAAATATCGTTTTCCAACAATACTCTTGGGTAGAAGCCCTAACAGCACAGTGTAACTACAGAGAAAGTGGGAAAATCGCTCAC